GAATAATAGTTCTGTGTGTGTGTGTGTGTGTGTGTGTGTGTGTGTGTGTGTGCGTGCGTGTGTGTGTGTGCGTGTGTGTGTGTGCGTGTGTGTGTGTGTGTGTCTATCCATTTTTCCATTGACGGACACATAGGTTGTTTGCATGTTTTGACAATGATAACTAATACTTCAGCGAACACGGGGTGCAGGTATCTTTTGAGATAGTGATTTCATCTTCAGATAAATACCCAGCAGTAGAATTGCTCAATTGTATGGTAGTTCTATTTGTAATTTTTTGAGGAGTCTCTATACCGTTTTTAAACTGGCTTTACTAGTTTACATTCCCACCAACAGTACACAAGGGTTACATTTTCTCCCCATCCTCGCCAGCGTTTGTTATTGTCTTTTTGGTATTAAGCGTTCTAACGGGTGTGAAATACCTCATTGTGCTTTTGATTTGCATTTCCCCGATGATCAGTGATATTGACCTCCTTTTCAATCTGTTGGCCATTTGGATGCCTTGTTTGAAAAAGTGTGTTTAGTTCCTCAGCCCATTTTTAAATCAGATTGTCATTTTGCGGTTAAGTTGGAGGAGTTATTTATATATTTTGAGTATTAACCCTTATTGGATATATTATTTGGAAATATTTTCTCCCATTCCATAGGTTGTCTATAAATTTTTGATGGCTTTTTATGCAGAAGCTTTTTATTTTGATATAGTCCCACTTGCTTAATTTTCCTTTTGTTGCCTTTGCTTCTGACATTATCAAGACCAGTGTGAAGGGGCTTCTTCCCTATGTTTTCACTTAAGATTTATAGTTTCAAGCTTTATGTCCAAGTCTTTAACCCATTTTGAGTTGGTTTTTTGTTTAAGATGTAAGATAGTGATTCAGTTTCATTAGTTTGCATGTGACTGTCCAATTTTCTCATCCATTTATTAAAGAGATTATCCTCTCCCTGTTGTGTATTTTTCGCTCTTTTGTAATAGATCGATTGGCAATATATGTGTTCATTTCTGGGCTCGCTATTCTGTTGATCCATGTATCTGTTTTTATGCCAATGCCATACCATTTTGACTACCATAGGTTTGTAATATAATTTGAGATCAGGAAGCATGATATCTCCAGCTCTTGTTTTCCTTTTTCAAGATTGCTCTGGCTTTTGGAGTCTTCTGTGGTTCCATACAAAGTTTTGAACTGTTTTTTCTATTTCTATGAAAAAAATGCCAGTGGAATTTTGATAGAGTTCACTTTGAATCTGTAGATTGCTCTGAGTGGCATTTAACATTTTAACAATATTGTTTCTGCCAATCCATGTTGCATAAAATATCTTTCCATTTACTTTTGTCTTTTTCAATTTTTTCATCAATGTTTTATAGTTCTTAGTGTACTATGCAGATAGATCTTTCATCTCCTTGGTTACATTTATTCCTAAGTATTTGTTCTTTTTTGATGCAGTTGTAAATGGAGTTTTAAAAAATTTCTTTCCTGATAGTTTGTCATTAGTATATAGAAATGTAACTGATTTTTTTATATTGATTTGTATACTACAACTTTACTGAATTCATTTATTAGTCCTAACAGTTTTTTGGTGGAGTCTTTAGGCTCTTTTTTATATATAATATCATGTCATCTGGAAATAGAGACAGTTTTACCTCTTCTTTTCCAACTTGGATGCCTTTTATTTCTTTTCTTGCGTAATTGCTCTGGCTCAGATTTCCACGTGGTAAGAGTCAGCATCCTTGTCTTGTTCCTTATCTTAGAGGAGAAACTTTCAGCTTTTCACTGTTGAATATACTGTTAACTCTGCGTTTGTTGTATATGGCCTTTATTATGTTGACTAATATATTCTTTCTACCCAGTTTCTTGAGTTTTTGTCATGAATGGATGTTGAATTTTGTCAAATGCTTTTTCTACATCTACTTTGATGATCATATGATTTTTATCCTCTATATTGTTAATGTGTTGTATTGCATCACTTGATTTACAGATGTTGAACCATCCTTGAATCCCTGGAATAGTTTGCAATTGATCACATTGTATGTTCATGTATTGTTGAATTTGGCTTGTTACTTTGTTAAAAAATTTGTATCTATATTTATTAAGGATATTGGACAGTAGTTTTCTTGTAGTGTCCTTGTCTGGATTTGGTATCAAAGTAATGCTGTCCTGGTAAAATGAGTTGGGAAGTGTTCCTCATCTTCTGTTTTTTTAAGAGTTTGAGAAGAGTTAGTATTAATTCTTTAAGTTTTGGCAGAGTTCACCAGTGAAGCCATCCGGCCTAGGACATCATTTTTGAGAGGTTATTGATTACTGGTTTAATCTCTTTACTAGTTATTGGTCTGTTCAGATTTTCTATTTCTTCACGATTCAGTCTTGCTAGCTAGTATGTTTCTAGAATTTATCTTTTTCTTCTACGTTGTCCAGTTTGTTATATAATTGTTCATAGTAATCTCATATGATCTTTTATATCTGTGGTACCAGTTGTAATGTCTCCATCTTCGTATCTAATTTTATTCATTTTAGCCCTTTCTCTTTTCTTCTTGATGAGTGGCATCTACTCTCTTCCATGTAGATATGGACATTGAAGCCGACACCATCCCCAGCTTCACTTTGATGGCTTCTGATTAAGTCAATTGTGGTAATCCCATCGCCCCCCTTAAGAGATGGTTTGAGGAATAGATATGTACCCAGTTCTCTCCAGTGTGACCTGTGAGATAATAATACACTGAGCATTCAGTCTGAGCTCTGGGAAAGACTACCTCTCTTTAAAAAACAAAGTTAAAGGAAAAGATGGTATGCTGACTCCTAAAACCACTACACTGAGAAATTTTTTTTATTAACATATAATGTATTAGTTGCTTCAGGAGTACAGGTCTGTGAATCATCAGTCTTACACAATTCACAGCACTCACCATAGCACACACCCTATCCCTCCCTCCACAAGCCCCCAGCAGCCCTCTTTGTTTCCTGAGATTGAGTCTATTATGGTTTGTCTCCCTCCCCAGTCCCATCTTGTTTCATTTTTTTCCCCTCCCTACTCCCCACGACTCCCCACGACTCCCCACGACTCCCCACCCTATCTCTCAAATTCCTCATATCAAAGAGATCTTGTGATAATTGTTTTTCTCTGATTGACTTATTTCACTTAGCAAAAAATCAGAAACAAAAACAACGAAATCTCACCATTTGCAACAACATGGATAGAACTAGAGGGTATTCTACATTGAGAAATTTTTAATTGACTTCATGTTACAGCAAATGTTAGGTATTACCATTTAATTTATAATTCAATGGCCGATTAAATATACATTTTGAATGAGGGGAGGATATTGGTTAAGTAATTTTTAAAGTGTCAATAGAGAATATATTTGGAAACAGAAAATCCAGCTGTCAGTGTTTTGTTGTTGTTATGTTTTTTAACCTAGAGGAATTTGTCTGATGCTTCAGAAGTTTGGAGATAGCTACTTAGTGATATTTCAGTTGCCCAGATACTCTCCATTTTTCTGCTTCCTTATCCTTAGCTTTCATTGTCAGGCTTGTTACTTCACGATTACAAGATGGCTGCGGCAGCTCCCGGCTAGAGGAAAGAGAGAGGACAAAAAGTGCGTGCCACTTGAGTCTGCCTGCTTTTATCAGGAAAACCAAAGGTTTCCTGGAACCCCCTCTCTGAAATCTGGGATATTCATTTGGTACTAAGTGCAGTGTATCAATTTAATCTATCTTCCCTTCTCAAATTTAGCTTCATGTATGTTAATTCAGTAACCTTTTTATTTTTAGTTTATGTTTTATAAACTAAAGTTGGTATGTTAGACTCACGAGGTAAGACATTTAGTTTTCTTTTTCTAAAATTAGGGCTTCTGAGCAAATATGTAAATTTGTGCTAAGTTCATGCAAATTAATATTTCTCATTTGAACCAGGCATTGTGATAATTTTTAAATGAGCTTTGTATTTCTTATGTAAAGTTTTACTGTCTTAGGAAGAACAGAAGACCTATTGAGCATTTGAACTAAACTCCATTATAAGAATTATAATACAAAATACCTTTTTTCAGGGCCCCTTTTAAGAACAGAGAGCCACAGTCCATTAAAAGAAAAAATGAGCAGGGTTTAAATTTAATACCTGATATTGCATTCAGGATTTATCTTCAGACTTAGGTACTCTTAAATTGTAAACTCAACTCTATTTTTTTACATCCCCCTCCTCCCCCCATCTCTTATCCTGTTCACAGACCTATTTATTCCGAACTCCTGAAACAGATCATTGAGGTAAAAATTGAAAGGATAATTTACGTCTGAAAGAAAATGTGGTTTCAGGTTCCTTGCTGGAGGTAGAGACACCTGCTGTAGACAAGGTGGGGCCGTGTACTTTAGGAGGGATGCAGGGTGCCTGGGGCGGGGAATGGCCAGCCGGCTGATTGCAGAGACCCGCTGGAACGCAGCGTTCTGTCTCTGCTCATCCGTGAGGATTAGGCCAGGATTCACACTGCACCTCATTTTAGGATTCTGGATCTCAGGTGGATGTGGAGGAATAGTTTCTCACACGGCAGAACTGAATGCTACTTTAAGTCCATCTCAGTAGCTGAAGAAAATAAATGAGGTTTTTATGTTCATGGTACCTCCTGTACTTGTACCCAGTGTGGCTGGAGAGGCCACACATCATAGGGGAGCAGGCAAAACATGCATATGCTTCCAGATTGTTGTGAAAGAAAGAACTCAGTAAGTAGGCTAGTTGCTAGTATTTCTCGCTCTCCCATCCTTATGGTCTATAACAGCATTTTTCTGCATATGTGACTTTTATTTTTCCCAATCTTACGGTGCAGGGGGAGAGGAGTGGGAAACCAGGCTGTTTTATTTCTGCGTCTCTCCATTAGGGAAGAAGGAAGCTCACGAGTGAATCTACTAGTTACATTGCCACAAATTTCTTAATCCAGTTTTTTTAAAGTTATTTACAGTAAATGTGGACTGTACTGCATGTTGAGGCTAATTGGAAACAGTGACCAGATTCTTAATCATTGTCAGGAAACTGCATTCAGAGAATGAGAAGAACGCCCCCACTGGATGAATTGCAGCCACCACCGTATCAGGATGACAGTGGTTCTCCCCATCTCTCATGTACGCCCTCAGAAATTGGGGACAGTAAATGTGAATTTTCCCACTGCAGCAACAGTCCAAGATGCTCATATAACAAGTGCCCAAGTGAAGGAAGCACAGGTCATGAACTAGAAAGTTTTCCTAATAAAGGATATGAAGAAGATGTTCCCAGTGACAGCACTGCAGTCCTGAGCCCGGAAGTAAGTAACACAGCACCTAGAGCTTTTTACGTGGATGTTATTGCGGGATGATAATAACCCTGTGCTTCTCCTCTCGGTAAAAGGTTTTATCACTGTCCGGTCCTTGGTGACTTACAGTGCCATTGTTATCCTTGATCTCGTCTTTATCTGGCAGACTTACCAGGACTGTCCCAATCATTCTCCACGCACCACCCTCCGTTTTCTCCAAAAGGAGGACAGGTAGCTAAAAATGAGAGCAATTCACAAGCTACTGAAACATACAATCTTCCCCCGGTTTCAGCCTCAAGAGAGGTCTTTTTTATTTTCACATTTTTTTACAAAACATTCTGGAATTACTTATCTGTTTCTTTCATCTTGAGGTTCCTATTTATGTGCTTTTTATTTTTAAAATTCTTTTATTTAGGATATTTTTACTTTAGGGAGATTGTTCATTCGTGTTTTATAGGTTTTTCAAAAATAATGTTTTTGCATTTTCAATTCATGGGATATGGAAGAGATAAGTAATGCTCAGCTTTACTAATGAAACTTGAATGCATGGCGACATTTGTTCAGAGTCGTTGGTTACATTTTATTTCCTATTTTGAAGCAAAAGTGTGAAAATGACAACAAAAATTGGTATGTTGAACTTTTGAAGTCTCTATGTTCTAAAAAGGATTTGTTTTAATGTCCCTTTTATGATGAAAACGGAAAGGTAATTTAAAGGTTTCCATTAGGTAATACGTACTTTTACGGTTTTTTTTCCTCTCACATTGCAGGTTTTTACAACTTTTGTCCCAGACAACATTTCATAATACTGCAGTGTGTCAGTGTTCTTACTGGGTGAATTTTCATCCTCTGCTAAAATTAAATAATGAAAGTAAAGCTATGAACAGAATTCCCTTAATTTTAAGTTTTTCTTATACAATTTCTAAAAACACATTTTATCTGTTATTACTTTTCTACTATTTCTTGTATTCTAATATAGTATCTAACTTAGAAGAAAATTTTCATTGGTATTTTAAGTTTAATACAACCAGGAGTCCATGATTTTCTACACAGAATCCTGCCCTGTGCCCTGTGCCTGAACTTATTTGAGACCCCTGTTCCGTAGGCTTGCTCACCCAAGAGACAGCCAACAGGCTGGCAGGGAAGCCTGGGTCATGGAATTACCCACAACGATAGCTGGCAACGAGTATGCCAGAGATTTTGCTATAAGCTTTACAGTCAGCGTATTTTCCATTAGTAACCTCATCTTCAGGAAGTTATTCCCATTTTACAAATGAAGACCTTGAGACTCAGAGAGGGAAGCAGTTTGCCTGCCTACCAGCACCTCCCAGATGATGGAGCTATCATCCAAACCCAGGTCGGCCTGACTCACACACAGGGCTGTTACCGACCATATCCTGCTGCCCCTCTTGACCTAAATCGTTGTGTGGGAAATTCCTTTGATGCTTTGGTACCCTCCCAGTGCACCACCAGGCAATTCGGAGGACTCATGGACCAAATTCAGATGCTCAGATTACGTGTGTTTTAATCTATTTCACATAGAAAGTAAGAAGTAAGAGGAGCAAGATGAGCTAGGTAAACACACTTAGGATGCCTGTAGGTACAGGTGATAGGAACACACTGGGTGAGCCTTGATTTAGGGCATGCCCATATGTCCCTGTCGCTCTTTATGCCCCATCAGTGTTCCCAGTGTTCCCTTTATATGGTGCAGCAATAAGGGCAACAGTTGAGTTTTTTTGTTTTTTTTTTTTAGGTAATCTGTACCCCTAGTGCGGAGCGTGTACTCACGAACCCCCAGATCAAGAGCCACATGCTCTACCAGCTGAGCCAGCCAGGCACCCCAAGAGTCGAGATTTGAACGGGGGTGCCAAGGGCCCAAAACTTTGTTTTCTGGAAGAGATTCAGGGACAAGTACTCCTGGTCATCAGTGAAACTTGCCAGTTTAGCCTTTTTATACACACTTTGATCTAAGGAGCACACGGTTGATACAGCTGTTACTAGCTCAGAGGTGACGTCATCATAGCTTAGGCTTTGCATGCCTTTCTCAAGATAGTACTCATATTTTTTATTTATTATGTCTCTTTTTGGCATATATTCCATGTTATTAACTTAGTTACTATCTGTAGTTACTGTATCTTCTGAATTTTGCCTCTCAAGTTACTTCCTGATTTCATTATTTATAGTTAATACAGCCTTTGCATTTTGCCCATATTTCAGAAGCCGCCAGCTTGCTCTCTGTTAACACTGATGAGTCTCTTGTATGCTGCTTGTTTTTGTGCCTCTATAGCAGAATTGAATATATTCAAACAAAACAGCAAGTGCACATTATATCAGTATCTAGATGCTTTTATAGCTCCTGTTAGTATAAAGCCCAATCTTGTGTTTTTTCAAGTTTATTTTACTTCCTACTATTCCTTTGATAGATATTATTTATCAAATAGAAAATTCTTACTTTCCTTTGGTTTATCCAGAATATAGCTATGTTAGAGCTCATTCACATACATGACTGAACTGAGATAGGACTGAGGGTTCCGGAAAGTTCCCTGACAAGGAGGTCACAAATTCTATTGACAACTTATTGCTAGCTAGCAATGGTTCAAAACTTTAATTCAGACTCCTTGAAAGGAAGAATTATTTTCTAGCTGCCTGTTACAGAACACAAATAGTTTTTATCTGTAAAGGTCCGCCTTTTAGCCCTCTCTGGAACCTTATGAAATTTCTTACTTCCTTGAATATCCTAGCTATTATGATACTATTTTAGAAAGTATTTCTTTGGAAAATCAAACCCATGTAATTAATCATCTTTGATTGCCAATTATGATGTGGCATACATTAAAACATTTTGCTCTAAGCTGTCAGTTTTTTTGACAGTAAGAATATGTTTACCCTGATTTCATCATATTCCATTTTAAAAAACCTGAATTCTTCTTTAAGAGTTTGTTGCCTCTCCCCAAGTATTGTTCTTCACTGGTTATCTTTCTTTTCATACATAGTACCAAGCAGGTCACCATAGGTAGACATGTCAGATTTTATGTAAAAGACCTGAGTGTTTTTGGTTCTCTACAGCACCCACACACACACCCAAAGTATGGCCAGGCTCATAGTATAACAGTTAGGTATGTGTTAAGCTGCTGTAATAAGAGACCAATACAGTGGCTAAAAACCACCAAAGATTGTCTTTCATTTAAAGACAATTCAGGGTGAGTAGGTGACTTTGTTCTACAATACCATTCAGGGGCTCAGGGTTCTGATGTCCCTGTTGTTGGTTTTTGTCACTCTGCCGTCCCCTGATGTACTGTGCTAGTCCTCAAGGTCCAGGCACACATCCTACGTGTGTATCTGCTTGTGGGAAGACTAAGAGAGTGAAGGGCAAGTAATATGTAAACCTGATCTGGAAGTTTCAGGCATAAATTCTGTTTGCTCCCCCATTGACAAAGGCCGAGTCTCATCAGCGTATCTGCCATAAGGCAAGTTTTTGAAATACAGGTTCTTGCCATTCAGTGTTTTTCTGCCTAAAACTTAGGCGGTTCTTCTCAGAAATGGAAAAAGGGAAGACTGGGACTAGTAGTAGTGACTGCTACCATAGGCACTAAGGACAAGTTCAGAAACAGAAAATTGTAAAATTGGTCCACGTTTCAAAATTAAAGACATTTAAGATTTATTAAGATACTTGATGGGGCAAAGTGGTATAGTTAAAAGGTCAGAGACCTGGGTTTGGCACTGTTGGTAACTAGCTGACACTCGTGGTACATTCCAGAGAGTTAGACTGGCAGGAATTTGAGACAGCTCCAGGTAGAATGGGTATAATTTCTTTCAATCTCATAATCAAAATGTATAGTTTCAGCCCTTCTTGAAATTTTGAAGTATGTAGTCAGCAATTTTCAATAGTAATTGACATTAGGAAGTAATACATAGTTTTAAATTCAGATTAGAAGTTAAAGTGTAAAAAGTATGTGTGTGTGTTATGGAGAAGTGGTGTTTGGCTGTAGTTATTTTTGAGGCCTTTGGATTTATCCTTTCGTATTTCACATTTTCATTGATTTCCAATCCTTAATATGTTTGTTTACATTCTATTACAGATGTGGACGTTTTAGAACAAACTGAAAATGGGACCATATTTTTCGATGGTGTTACACTCGTATTTATGTTCTCTCTCTCACCAGCCTCATATGGAGCTGGCAGTTATGTTGTTTTTAATGTTGGAAATAAAATGTAGTAGTTTCCTACAAAAGGAAGAGAGATACACATTGAAATATATATTTTCAATTCTCATCATAAAGACATAGATCCAACTTTCTTAAAATTGGAGGATACTAAATTCTTTGTCTTTGTTCTAAGTTTTTGAGTTAAAGCTACCACTTTTACTGTCCTGGCCCTGTAGAGTAGCTTTTGATTGTAGTTGACTGTTAATTACTATTTCTTTCTTTCTGACAGCAAATCAAGACAGTTTCCACATCGTCTTCCTAAAGAAATGTCAGGTATTTATTTACATGCTAGTTTAAATAATAGAGCTAAAAACTGAAAACATTTAAATTTGCTTTTCTCAGGATATGTCAGCTCAAGGATCATCTTCACAGCTTCCTAAACCTTTTGATCCTGAGCCAGAAGCTAAATATGGCACACTGGATGTGACTTTTGACTATGACTCCCAAGAACAGAAGCTTCTGGTAACAGTGACAGCTGTCACAGATATCCCAACATATAACAGGACAGGTGGCAACTCATGGCAAGTACACCTTGTTCTTCTACCTATAAAGAAACAGAGAGCAAAAACCAGCATCCAGAGAGGACCATGCCCTGTCTTCACAGAAACATTCAAATTTAATCATGTTGAATCTGAGATGATTGGAAATTATGCTGTTCGGTTTAGACTGTATGGTGTACATCGCATGAAAAAAGAAAAGATTGTGGGGGAAAAGATTTTTTATTTAACAAAATTGAATCTTCAAGGGAAAATGTCATTACCTGTGATATTGGAACCTTCTTACAATCATTCTGTGAGTATCTGATCAAATAGCCTGAATACGATTTATGTCGTGGTATGTAACATCCATAATTTTTAAAATCCATGATCAACCCAACAACTTTTTCAGTTTTTTTTATGTAATAATCATACCTTTACAAAATTTCTAAGCCCCGGATAGGTAGGTATAATTTTTTCTCATTCTATAAAAGTTGCCCTTGAAGATTATATGTGATTCATTTTATGTATTTTATCCTTCACAGAGTCAGGTCCAGAACAAATTACATGTTCGTTCTTGTTAAATATTTATTAGATGATTGATTATGACATCAAAGTGAACTCCTTGCAGAATTTATTGTTTTCTTTCCAGGTTAAAACTAAGTGATACAGCAAGATCTAGCCCCATATCTTACTCACTATACTGCAGAAATTATTTGTTTTTTTAGACTATGTACTACTGCCGAGCTCATGACTGATTATCTTTCCAGAGCTCCTATGAAATTATTTTTAAAGGTTCAAAAGAAGACCTGGCCTTGTTATACTCTGCGCCCTTTTTAAAAAAAGATTTTGCCGTATCTCTGGGAGAATACTTAAGTTTGGTCTATGAGGTGTTCTCCCTTTTCTTTTCTTTTTTTTTTTTGTCCTCCAGGTTCTCATCACCTACAGCTCTCTCTCTCTGTCTCTCCATATTTGTAACTAACCTCCCACAAGACATTGCAGAGCACAGGAGAGCTGAACTACTTTAAACTGGGAAGATACATTATGCCACATAGTTATTTAGATAATGAGAAAAATCTGTGATAGGCTATAAGTGTAAATTATGAATTATATTTATTCCTCCCTGTGTTATATTGAATTAAGAGCATTTTTATAATACAAATACAGAGATTTTAGAATGGATGTGTGTCTTTAAATGAAAGTGTATTTTAGAGTTTTTTAAGCTTTAAAGCACAAGTCCAGAATCAGAGCCTCACTGAATTTATACCAGACAACATTTGATCTTATAGGATACTCATTCACAATATTTGTTTTTTTTTTCACTATCCAATTTTAGCTAGATGATTTTAAAACATATTTAAAACCAAAAGGTGATAATAAATATGATATATCCCTGCTGGTTTATAAGACAATATTTAGCCTTTATTGATAACTTGTTATAACTTTAAATTGCAGAATTACCATTTTGGGGAAATGTCCTTTTTATAAATATAATATCAGTTTATCAGAGAAGAGAAAAACGAAAGTCCAGGCAATATTCCAGAGGGGAAAAAGATAATTTTTTTTTTTTTATAAAATTGAATAGTCTGCAGTTCTTAATAGGATTTTAAACTTTCTCATGATTTGGTCTGAGTGATGACTAGTTAATCTGTGGAAAATACATTCTTTTAGAGAAATACCTGATTTAAATTAGAAGAGAATGACTATATCATCACGAGGTATGTATTTTGTGTTTATTTACTTCAAATTATCTGTTCCCAATTCTATATTAATTATATTCATTTCACAAAGGAAATGAAGCCATAGAAAATAATATGGTTTTATCTGTGGTCAAACTTAATTATTTCTGTACATTACATGTATTAGCTTATGGTCATCAATTCTGTGTTTCTGACAACCAGTACAATAAATTTGAGGCGTGCTCACCAAAAAACATGCCGGACAAACAGCTTCTAAGACATAACATTTAAATCTGAATAAAACTATCCATCTTCTGCTTTTGGAGAATTTTTTTCTCTACATTGTCACACTTTTCAAATTTCATGCCTGTATTTAATTGTTCTTCTCTTTTGTCTCCTTTCCTGTTGAAAAACATGAGTTCTTTCTACTAACTAGTTGTGGTTATAACCTTGGATAAATGATCTAATCTCTTTAGGCATCAGGTTTCTCATTAGTAAAATGAGGGCATTAAACCAAATGTCCCATCTATCTCTGATACTGCAATTCTCCTAATTCATATTGGGAAAGATGTTAGGTAAGAACAGAAACAGGTGGATTTCAGATGAGTTTTGTGTGCTAAATGTGTTGTGTTTTGTTCAGGCATTGATTATGTTTTCTTACTCTTCCCTATCTTCAACCATCTTCTAATGTCTGAGAAAGCCCCAACTACTAGTCCCACCCCCTACAGGTAAGCTATAAAGTTCTTTCCCAGTCTGACTGGTAGCTAGAGCAGGAGCCATGCTCCCTGGGCTCTGCGACGCTGACTCATTTCCAGGAAACCTCAGGGCAGACTGAGCAGAGAAGCAGGTGCTGCGCTCCCCTCATGCCTGCATGAGGCCAATGGTGGAGGAATCTGGTCCTCAGGGTCAGTAGTAATTCCCAAACAGCTCTGCAGGTGCTGAAGCAGTATTGGTGCTAGACAGCGGCAGTTGCAGGAGAGAAAAGATCTCGGCACGTAAGTGTCCAATGGGGGCGGCAGCAGGATGTCCTCACCAGGCCAGTCCTGCAGGATGGTTTTCGGTTTTGTTCTTCAGAAGCTTCCCCATAAGCCTGTTCTCTAGTCGTCCCAATTCCTTTAGGACATTGCTGTTCCACTGAGACTTAGCTGCCAGTGATTTCAAACAGAACCCTGACTGAAAAATGTTGAAATAGCCATACGGTGTATTGTTTACTTGTTTAAGTGATCTCTTAGGCCATACTCAACAGCTGGAGTGTTGGCAGTTACCCTTCCTACCGTGGTGTATCCTTCTTATAACTGGAATTTTTCTCTTATGCTCAGCGGCGTGCAGATGGCACTCTTCCCCAGGGAGAACCCCAGTCACCCTCTTCACCTGCATTTTTGGCACCGCATTACTACCGTGTGTAACAGTTGCCTGTAGCAGCCTCTCCTCCTTTCCTCAGTCCAGTCGTATTTCTCATTCAGCCTCCCAGATTTCTTAACAATAATCTTCACTCTGTCTCTCACAAACATTCGCAATCCTTCCTTGCACAGACAGTATTTAGTTAGCATAATGTACACAGGGTAACTGGCTAGAAAATGGGGGGCTCCAGTCCCACAACTGCAAAGCACTGCATTCAGCTAACATCTCGAAGGAGCTTAGAGGTAGATTCTCAGCTAGAGCCTTCAGGTAAGAATAGCCCAGCCCAGCCGAAACTTCGATTTCAGTCTTGAGACACACAGAAATCACGAGGAAACTGAAGTTGTAAGGCTAGAGCTACTTACTAGGTGCTTTTTGACCCTGAGGCATTTCAGGTGTGACGGTGTAACCAGGAGAAGTCTACAGAGGTTGATGTATCCTCAGGGAAGAGTTGGATTTGGGTTGAAGTAAGATGTTGGGGTTCAGAGAAGAAATTAAGGTTCCGGAGGAGTTTATCATAGATCAGGAGGACCAGAAGGCATAGTGAAAAAATTCAGAAAAGGAGGAGTGTGATGGCAGTTTGTGGTAGTGAAGAAATACAGAGAAGAACAGAATGGGTGTTAAAGCAAGAGACCTGGCCAATGTCATGAGAGATTTGCCTTCATTTAGATTGTTCTAAAATGTCAGTCCCGATTATAATTTGAATCTACTTAAATCTCAGATGTTATTTAAAGTCTAATTTAAATCTCATCTTTATAGAAATTTGTTAGACTGTTTCTAATACAAATTTAAATTAGTTGATCTTATCTGTCTCTGTAGACCAAGTAGCGAGTACTGGTTGTTGCTGTGTGAATGTTGGTTGGATGGGTGGGCGAGTGGGTGCGTGTGGTACATATTATTTCTCAGTTATTGCCTCTGGTGCTTGTTTCTGCAGCTAGTCATACATTTTCTTGTTATTGAACTTGTTCTATGTCTTCCTTCTAGATTTTAAATACTTTGAGAATAGAGTCTGTTTGACTTAAATGGTTTTAGTTATGCTTACTTTTCATAGAACCTAGAATATAGGTGTTCAGTGAATACTTGTTAAATTGATTGTATTAACGTATTCAGGTAAACCTGATAGTTCTGAAATTCTTACTGAGATCCATACTCAGGTAAGTATCAATATCCTTAAAATAGCCCTGTTAGGAATCTTTTATGACCTAGAATCCAATAATCATGATCTTAGAGTAATTAAGTAGGAACACATCACAATGTATTGCTTCTAAATAATAATCAACAAAGGACATATATGTTCATATAATTCCCCATTCAAGAGTTTAATGCCACAGTCTTGTAGAGTGATCAGCCTTCCTCATGACTTACTGAAATGAAGATCTTCTTTTAGATACCTGCACTTTTCAATCTTTAATTCCTAAAATTTCCTGTATCTCAAAAATAGCCTATCTTTTTTTTGTTACTAGACTGAATTAATTTAGTTTGATATTTATACTGTGACTTTTATTTTTAAGACAGGTAAATTATTGCTTATACTCTGTAATTGAAATGTGTGTCCCTCTAAGAATCATACTTTAGTCTGTATTATTAGCAAATGTCTTTTAAAACTTGGCTTCTCCTATTTTCATATTCACTACGTTCACATACTACCTTGTCAGAAATTTACATTTTCTCAATGTAGATTACACTTCTTCATCCTAAAGCAATTTAAAGTAGATACTTCATGATAAACTAATGATCACTGTTAGCAGTTACTACGTGAAGGAGAAAGCTGCATGTGTGCAATTCAGGTCCCTAGACGATAACACTTACACGATTCATGGCTCACTTTAGTATAAAACTAAATAGTTACAGACCTATTTAGAGACAGTTATTCAAAGTAGTTGAGCATATATTATCAGTGGAGAGGAATAACTCTAGTCTCACATGAAGAATTGTTAACAGGTAAATCTTTCAGTGAAAGAAGTGAAATTAGAGCCTAAAAGGAAGCTTTTTGTTTAAATCAGATTCTTACTTTATATAAGACTAAAAAGAAGTCAAGTTTAAATCCTATGTCTCAAGAAATTTTGAACATGCAGGAAAATTGAGTGGGAAAAACTGAAATCTCAGTGGTTAAACTATTTGTTCTGTATATTGAATATAGGGAATAAAGAACATCAATTCAACTGGGATTCATTTCATTGAACCATCCAAGACTAAACTATAAACCACTGGACCAATATGTACTTCATTCTTGTTTCGT